CCAGCCCCCTCCTCCCTCAGACCCAGGAGTCCAGGCCCCCAGCCCCCACCTCCCTCAGACCCAGCAACCCAGTGTGTTTCCCCCCGTACTTCTTGTTTAGCATCCTCATTGACTCCTCCATACTCAATCCACAGGAAGGGATGAGAAGAAACAAGGAAGTTTCCTCAGGCCCTGATGTACCTGCCATCATGGTCAGTCTGTCCTGCCCTCAGCCCCATCTCGGTGCTGTGTTTCTGCCCCAGCCCCTGCTCTTTCTTCTCTCAGCCTCTCCTCTCCTCCAAAGGAAAAGTATCTGGGGATTGGCAACAGGAGGGGAACTAAGAAGGCCTGGTTCCTGTTCCCATTATTGTTATCTGTATCCATGGCATGCCCTCGGGTAACATGCTCTACTTCTCTGTGCCTCAGTTTCCTCTTCTATAAATGGGTGACATCAGCAGTTACTGTAGAACGAGGACCACGATATGCTTGGGTTTTCAAAATCACTTAAAACATTTAAAAATTCATTTGATTCTTTTAAAAACCTTTATTATACAAATATTCAAGCATGTATAGAGGTAGAGTAGATTGGGAAGCCCCCATGTACCCACCATGCAGCTTCGACGATTACGACTTTTTTTGTTAAGATTTTTTTTAACTTATTTTTTTTAAAAGATTTTATTTATTTATTTGACAGACAGAGAGTAGGCAAGAGAGGCAGAGAAGCAGGCAGAGAGAGAGGGAGGAAGCAGGCTCCTTGTTGAGCAGAGAGTCCAATGCGGCGCTCGATCCCAGGACCCTGAGATCATGACTTGAGCCAAAGGTAGAGGCTTTAACCCACTGAGCCACCCAGGCGCCCCAAGATTTTTATTTATTTCTTATAATCTCTATACCCATCACGGGGCTCAAACTCATGACCCCAAGATCAAGAGTCACAGAGTCACACACTCTACCAGCTGGGTCAGCCAGGCTCCCCAGTGATTATCAGTCTTGAATCTTTTCTTACTCGCCAACTTTGTTTTACTGATCACTCACTTACTTCCCACCCTGCATTTTAAATATTTAAAGCAAATGTCAGATATTGTATCATTTCCTCCATACCTCACTGTGTATCTCAAATAGGCAAGTTTTCTTTTTAGTGTAACAAAAATGCCATTGCCATACTGTAGGAGATAATTAATAATTCTGTACCATCCTCAGATGTGACCCACATTCACGTCTCCCTAGTTGTCTCTGAAATGTCCTTTTATGGTTGTTTATTTGAATCTGGATCCAAAGAAAGTAAACACAATGCATTTAAAATGTCTCCCACATCTCTGACATGAAGAGTCCTCCCTCCCTACTTTTTAAAAACTTGCCATTTATTTGTGGGAAAAAAAATGAGTCATTTATCCTGCAGTATTTTGCACATTCTGGATTTAGCTGACTGCTCCTTATTAAAATTTTATTTTTACCCACATTAATAGCATGAATACATTTTTGATACAACAAATGTTATTGAATTTGGGGAAGTGAAGATCTCCCTATTCTACCTCAGGAGTCACAAGTGTTTCGTCTTGTTGAGAGAAGCTTTGAATCTTTTTTTTTTCTTTTAAGATTTTATCTATTTATTTGAGACAGAGAGAGAGCATGTGAGAGAAGGAGCATGAAGTGGGGCTGGGGGGGTGTAGAGGGAAAGGGAGAAGCAGGTTCCCCGCTGAGCAGGGAGCCCAGTGGGGGTGGGGAAGCTGGAGCCCAACGCTGAGCTCCATCCTGGGGACCCTGAGATCATGACCCAAGCAGAAGGCAGATACTTAACCGACTGAGCCACTCAGGTGCCCCCTTCCAGTCTTTTTTTAACACTTTTCCACATACACTGATCAAACCCTATTTTGTGAATTTATTTTTCCCTTAAGCCAGCACATTGTTCCCAGTCTGCTTTTTGTTTTCTCGACCATCTGTCCTTTCCTTGTTATTACTATTTTTAATATTTCCTTTATATTTATTGAGTGCCTGCTGGTGGAAGCCCCAGGGTCACAGCAGTGACCCAAATCCAATTCCTGCCCTGGGGGAAGCTGGCATTTAGAGGCAGATGGACAGAAAAAGCAGCTTCAGTATGTGAAATTTTAAGTAGCCTGTCAGGTGCTGATAAGAGGCGGGGAGTAAAATAAAGCAGGCAGGACAGTGGAGCCTTCCGGGCTGCCAGGCATAAGCTCTACTTCATTAAAAATGAAGCATCATCATTTATTAAACAGCTCCCTGCTCCGTGCGTTGTTGTGTCCCTCTACCCCCCACCCCTTCACTCTAAGCTGCCTTCTTGTTCTATGGGATTCCCTCCTAGAAGCACAGTCCCGTGACTGGAGAGCCTGACCTCCAGCTCCTCCTTGAAACAGTCCTGTGAGGCGAGTACTGTGATAGCCCCCGAATTTCAGCACAGGGAAACTGAGGCTCCAAGAGGGGAAGGGGTTCCGCTGGGGTGACACAGTGGGCAGCAGTGGCGTTGAGGGTCAGAAGCCCATCAGCTCTTCTGGATGGGGGCCCCCTTTCTGCCCACATCCTACCTGGGTGACCTTGGTGAGTCACTTCCTCTCTAGAAACCCCATTTGTATCATCTGGCAAATGGGACAGACAGCTGTTTTTTTTTGTTTTTTGTTTTTTTGGAGAGGAGACGAGGTGATCACTATGGTCACTTGGCACACACAGTGCGCGACAGGGAGTGGGACCTTTCATACACACTGCTGATCGTTAGTGTAACTGTCTGGATTTGGCCACAGGACCTGTAGAAGATTCTAGGCCCCAGTAGGTACCCTTTTAACTGCTAACTGCTCCTTCCCCTCCTATGCATCTCCCCTCTGCGTGGCTCTGCCCATCTCCATCCACTGAGTCTCATCTCTGTTTTTCATCCCTCCTTGCTCTGGCCTCGCCTCTGTTGCCTCAGCTCATCTCCTCAGCCCTTGATATCTGAGGTGAGGTCCATGGACCAGCAGCATTGGTGGCCCAGGAGCTTGTTGGACCCTCAGAACCTCACCCCCACCCCTGAATGAACCAGAGGCTGCATTTTTAACAAAATCCCTAGGGGGTCTGCCTGCCGGCTCAGTCTGAGGCACACTGCTCTGAGCCTCTGTGTGACCGTGGGGATCATTACTGTTCTTTGCAGGGATCCTTTGGGAAGAACAGGTGCCATCAGGCTGGGCCTTGTACACACCAGACACTGTCATTGTCTTGGTTCTTCCCTTTCTGGCTCCTGAGATGACCACTCTGCCTGGCGAGTCCTGGCTCCATCAGCTCTAGCTGTGTGACTTGGGCCTAGTGACCTAACCTCTCTGAGTCTTGGTTTCGACATCTGTAAAATGGGGGTAATGATGTATTACCTCCCCACTCTGTTTTGTTGTTGTTGTTTGAGAGAGTTTGAGAGGGCAGAGGGATTATACCTATAAAGTGCCCAGCCCAGGAAGTAACCACTGATTTCATCACAACCAGAACAACAACAGGACTGCTCGCATGTATGGATCACTTACTCGGTCCCTGTTTCGCAGTATATGAGGGTCCCCCTGGGTTCCCTCACTTCTCTGCCACGCCTTCTGTGTTTTGGGGTGAGCTCAGGGGGCAGGAGGACCTGGGCTTCTGTTTCAGCTCTACCCTCTAGAAGCTCTGGGTGACCTCCAGTGGATCATTTTATCTTCTTGTACCTCAGTTTGCTCATCTGTAAAATGGGGCCCCCAGTAGCCCAGTCCCAGGGGCAATCATGGGGAGTCAAGTTGTTGCTGCTAGTAAGCCCGTGGCAGGGTGTCCTAGTCACTGGCTCTAGCTCCAGACTCATTCTCATGATGGGCATTGTTGATACAGCTGGTTAAAGCTGTGGCCAGCCTTACAGGGGAGCAGGGGAGAGGGAGCCAGGGCTGGCTGGTGGACCACCCCCTCCCTGACCCTTTGATGTCAGCTGCCCCCTTCTCTTCCCTCCCCAGGCCCCGCCCACGCCCCCACCCCGCCCCCCGGGCCCTCGAGTCTTGGATCTTCGGCAGCACCTGGAACGCTGGGGCCACAATCCTGAAAGCTGCCCGCACCTAAGGGTGTCAGGAGGCTGCTGCCGCGGATCCCTGGTGAAGATGGGCGGCCGCATAAAGACCTGGAAGAAGCGGTGGTTCTGCTTCGACCGCCAGGCCCGCCGTCTGGCCTACTACGCCGGTAAGCCCGGCCTGGCCGCCTGGGACCTTGGGCCCCCAGGACCCTGGAAGTGGCCACTCCAGAGGCCTTCCCCACAAGACACCTGAGATACCCAGTCCCTGTCCCCTTCTCACTTAGGCCTACGAGTCTGGATCCCCAGCCCTGTTAGCAACACAGAATCCATCACTTTTGTATAGTTCTGGCTCTCCAAACCCCATTTTTCCTGAGATACTGGGAATCTGGACCAGCATTGCCCTTGCCCTCCCCCCACCCTCAACATGCAGGAGTCCAGGCCCCTCACCCTTCCTCTCTGAAGGAGTCAGTAATTCTGAACCTCTTCTGAGTCTCTTCTTCTCTAGGACCAAGGCACTCAGGGACCTAGGATTCCAGATCCCCAGACCCCACTCCCCAGGCTTGTCCGGTCTCCCTTCCAACCTTAACATTCATTCAGCTCCCAACCAGGGTATCTTAGGGGCCTCCAGACTCTGCCACCATTCCCTCGCCCCAACACCAGTCTCTGGACTTGGGTCTAGCAACCTGTGCCTCAATGCACAGACGCACAGCTCTCACTGGTTGTCTCCCCCTCACCTCCCTCCATCAGACAAGGAAGAGACCAAGCTCAAAGGCGTCATCTACTTCCAGGCCATCGAGGAAGTCTATTATGACCACTTACGCTGTGCCTTCAAGGTGAAGCCCCACTTGGTGCTCCCCCCTGCTTTCCTGATTAGAGCTCCTGCAGTCAGACCTTAGCTTGCCCCTGGGTACATGCACTGTCAGCATCCTCCATCCAGCCCAGGAGGAGCCCATCAGGTCATTTCACTGCAGCAACCACAAATTCAGAGCTCAGTCTCTGGCTCTCAGTCTCTGTTGCTTTTCTCAGAGCAGATCGAGAGCAAAAATTTGGCAAGCTCTGATGCCAGGCTGGGAATAAATGGATGGAGACATCAGGGTGAGGACAGAGGCAGCCTGGGAGCATCCAGAAGAGGCGATCGTTTCTCAGCCTCTGCCCGTAGTTGCCAAATGGGAATGGGCCGCACCGTGTCACTTCATATTCTTTTGCCCTAGGGAACTCAGAAATTCAAAATTTGTACAAGTGCAGTGCCAGGAATTTAAGGGTTGACAACTGGTATGGTATTTAGAAAGCTCTGGGGAGCAACCGACTGTGGCCTTTTAGAGTTTAGCCTGGAATCTCAGCTGTGGGACAACGGGAAAGTGACTTCCCTTAGCCAGCCTTCATTTTCTCACCTGCAAAATGGGCATAATGTAACCCATTTCCTCAGAAGGTTAACAGAAGGTAATGAATGGGTGTAAGGGATTTACTCAATTCAGGGTTGGCAAATAGCTACTTAATAAATGGAGTGTAGATACTAGCTTTCTCCAGTTACAAACCAGGGGGACCTAGATTTGGGGGGTTGTGGTGAATGCTTATATTTCTAATAAAGGAGGTAAGCTAGAAAGGGGACACAAGTCTTCCTTCTGAATTCCTCCTGCTCCCCAAATCCTAAGTCCCCAAATGTTAATTCACTGCAGCTTCATAACCCAATGAGGTAGGTAGCATTATTTAGGAAAACAGATGGGGAAGTTGATTCAGAGTCCAAGTAACTTGTCCAGTGCCGCACAGCGCGTCAGTAGCAAGGCTGGGATTCTAACCCATTTGTTCTCTTAACCACCTTCATTCCGCTGCTTAACCCAGAGCCCCAACCCTCGCCTCACGTTCTGCGTGAAAACCTACGAACGTCTGTTCTACATGGTGGCGCCCAGCCCGGAGGCCATGCGCATTTGGATGGACGTCATTGTGACCGCTGCTGATGAGAATCACGCCCCTTGAGGAGGGGCCCCGCCCTCTTGGGGGAAGTCCCGGTGAGGCTCCGCCTCTACTGCCCCGCCCTAGGCCCCGCCCGCCCACCCGCCCCGGAAGGCATGGGCCCTCCCCTTTGGAACTTCCGGGAATCCTGCAGGTGCCATAGCTCAGCAGGCCTGAGCCGTGGTGTTTTGGGCTGCAGGTGCCTTCCCGCGATGGGAAGCCAGCCCTTGGGGCCCTGCCCCAGGCAGGAGGAAGATTGTAGGGGCGGGAAGGAACTATTTATTGGTGCTCCTGTGATCCCCAATTAAACACGGAGAAAGACGGTCGTTGATGCAGTGTATTTCTAGAACAGGTGTCCTGGGCCCCTTCGCCCTGACCTAAGCAGGACATCCGAGTTCTAGGTATCTCTGAGAGCCAAACGTCCCACAGCCCGTTCTCCTCTCTTTAGGAATGAGGCCTTCAACATTAAGGTCAAGGCTAGGGAGCTGGGGGGTGGGGAGAAGCATGTGTCTTTAATCTTTGGCAATTTTGTTTTTTTAGTTTGTGGGCCCCCCTGCTTCCACCCTTTTTGATTTGACTGGGCTATTGGTAGTTTCTAAGAACTTCTAGGCTCCTGTCCTCTGGGCCTTGGCACATAATTATTCTCTGCCCTGTCTTTAAGTGGCTAGCTCCTCATTTCTCAGACTTGAGATGTCCCTCCTTCAGGAAGCCCTTCCTGCCCCTCACAACTGGGTCAGGCACCCCATTTTGAGCTCCCCTGTTCTATCCCTAAACACCCTAGGTGATCACTGGTAGTGGATCTGGGTCCCATATGGACTGGGGAGTCCCATGAGGTCAGAGCCAGTGGTGTCCTGGTTACTGCCATGTCCTCAGCACCATAGGGCACATTTCAGTCCATGAAAGTGGAAAAAAAAGCTTTCCTTTCACCTCTTGGTCTTTGTACATACTCTTCCCTTTGTTTGGGCACCTTTCCTCACTCCATGCTACTACTCATCATTTAGGTCATAGCTCAGATGCCTCCTTCTCCAGGAAGCCCTCCCTGATTCTCCTGGCTGAGTCAGGTACTTCTCCTGGGCTTCTTGTGCCAGCCAGCCCTGATCCTCCCTGATCCAGCCTGTGCCTCCCCCATCACAGCCTTGACAGCTCTGGGTCATCACTGTCGATGAGTGTGTCTCCTGTGCTGGATGGAAGCCCCGGGAGGCAGGGATTCGGGCTGTTCAAGTCACTATTGAGTCCTTGGCACACAACAAAGGGCCAAAGTGCAAATTAGGTGTTGAAGGAACTTCTGCTGGCTGAAAAAACTGCTGAGGATCGAGGACAGTGTAAAACAGCAGACAAAGGTCTCTTCATTCTTTCCGTCTTACTCAAGGTGTCCCCTCCTTCGGGAAGCTCTCCTTGATGCCTAGGCTGGATCAGGTGCCTAGTCTGGGCTTCCACCGTCCCCGGGATTGCTCAAGACAGCCCTGACCACCCTAGGCCCTCACTGTGTAGAGACAGGTCTTCAGCCACTGGAAAGATCTCTCTGGAACTAGGCACTCAGTCCCTCTGGTTCCTGTTTGCTTAGGGCATGGGTATCCCATTGCAGGATTTCTGATGGATCCAGATATGGTGGTCTCCTGAGTCCTGGGCATACAAACACTTCAATCCTCGGGCCCTGGGGGGACCCCTGTGTCCCTTGGCCTCCACCTCCAGGTTCCAGACTTCTGGATTCTTGTATCAAACCATGCCCCAGACCCCTCCAAGAATGGAGTGCTCATGGGGGCCAGCCTCTCAGACATGTGATCAGCATAGGTGACAGGTCCCTGTGCCAAGAGCCGTCAGGTATGATGCTCTGTGGTTGCCATCTGGAAATTCTTCATTTTCTTTCGGAATTTGGATTTCGTAAGTGCGGTCTGAAGGGCTGGCAAGCCCGTGCTGAAGGGGATCAGAGCCTTGGCTCACACATGGCTCCACAACCCGCCATCTCCCACATCCCCAGGACAGGCTCTGTCTGCCTTTCTCTCCCTGCTCCTGCCCCATGACCATTGTCACTTCCAACTTCAGTAGGCCTGGGGGCAGCTGGGAAGAGCAGGGCATACATTCGAGCCTCATGGCATCTCAGGTGGTGCATGGCAGTGGACAGCTGTCCCCCAGAAGGGGTGCCCAGCAATCCAGTTGCTCTGGCTGTGGGACAAGGTCTGCAGATACCTGTGAAGGTCTGTGCTCTCAAGTGTCCAAGAGGTTTGCCTTTGGGAATATGACCTTGAACACCAGGAGGGGTGGAGAAAGATGGCAGAAGAAAGAAAAATGCATTTCAAAGTTAATACCTCTAATGGCACTCTTTCCTACCTTTTGAACCTGGTCCCCATATTTATACTTTGCACTGAGGCCCACAAATTATGTAGCCAGCCCTGCCCCTAACCCCACCCCTTCCCTGACACATCCCAGATTGTATGTCCCCAGAAGGAGTGGGTCTAAAGATAGACTGGGAATGTCACTGGGCTCAGGGCCTCCCTTGGCCCGAGGACAGGAAACCATACTGGATATGCCCCCAAGGTTGTCTGAGGCCCTGACATGACCTCCAGAGCCAGGGACTGCCTCCACACTGACCTCTCTGTTCACCTATCTGGGGAGCCAGGTTCTAAACCACTTTGCCATGACCTCTGGGAATAGGAGCAGGGAAGAATCCCAGAGCAAGTGTAAGGAGAGGCCCCACATTCAACCCTCCCTCTGCTCTCTGGGCCTGGGCCAGATGGGGGTCAGCACCCAGGATCCAGGCAGGCCTGAGCAAGAGGAGACTCCCCACCCTAGGTACCACTCCCTCCCAAGATCCTAGTTCTTCTGGTCTTGCTAGTTGGGGTTCCTCCCTGAAACTCTCCCACGCAGCTGGGCCCTGCAGGGCCTCTGCTCGTCAACACACAATAGTTACAGTATTATTACCCTGCCTCCCTCCATCCCTCAGGAGGTAGGGGTTTTGGGGTCCTTGTGGCAAAGGCGGCAGCTGAAGTTCAGAGAGGGAGTCCCACTTGCTTGAGGTCACACAGCAAGAGGAGGGCAAAGGCAGGATTAAAATTTCAGTCTGTCCGATTTCAGAGTTGATGCTTTGCCACTCCTTCCTTTATTATAAAACAGATCTCTCAGAGGCTCAGAGAGGTGAAGACACTTCCTCGGGGTCACACAGAAAACCCTAAGTGGGGCTGGGATTTTAAGGCTGGAAGGCTGGAAGGCAGGGGCCAGTGCCGGATGACTTCACAAGTAGTCATTCACTTTCTCTCTGGGAGTCTCAGCATGATGCCAAGTGACGTCACCTATATGACTGAGGTGCTACTCATTATTGGGAATCGGGGTGCCCAACGGGGTCTGGGGAATAGATAATATCTTTATGAACACAGCCGCTCTTTTTCCCCTGGCATAGATAAACCTTATCTATGAGCCAGGAGAAACAAAGCAACGTTAGAGATGTAACTTATATAATGATATATAGTGTGTATATATATATATATACATATATATATATAATATAAATGTTATTATATAATAAACATAATCTATATAAATACTATAATATAACGTAGTATAACGTAACATAGGCAGTCACTTATATGAGCCTGGATATGGGGATGCTTAGTCATTTTGTGGTTTGCATGATGTTCTTGCTTCTGAATTCAGATGTGGTCCTGCTGTGGTCCTCAGCGTGTCCCCCTCCAGCACATCTTGGTGTGGCTCTGTCTGGGGTGGGTGTTCTGTGTTGGTGTTGGTGTGTAACAGAACCCCATGGCCTCAGTGTGGGTGCCTCACCAACTCTCTGATGTCAGGGGCTGCTTTTCTTCTTTACCTGGAAGACTGCCCAGCTCCCTCACTGGTCTCCCGGCTTTCTCGATCCTTCCACAGAGGACACAGTGACATCCTTTCTTTTTTTACTCTCTCTCTTTCCTTTTTTTTTTTTTTAAGTATAATGTACATTTAGTATATAAGTATACAGCTGGGTAATTCTTTTTTTTAAGATTTTATTTATTTATTTATCAGAGAGAGAGAGAGAGTGCGAGCGTGCATGAGCACAAGCAGGGGGAGAAGCAGGCTTCCTGCTGAGCAAGGAGTCAGATGTGGGACTTGATCCCGGGAGTGTGGGATCATGACCTGAGCTGAAGGCAGCCGCTTAACCCACTGAGCTGCCCAGGCCCAGGTGTCCCCAGCTGGGTGATTCTTTACAGATTTGCACACACGTGTAACTACTGCCTGGAGGAAGAGAGTGGGGCTCATCACCATTGCTCCTTTGGGACGATGGAATCCCTCTTCTGTTCTAGAACTTCATGGCAGCAGAGTTACACAGTATGTTTTATTTGTGTGAGGCTTCTTGAGCTCTACATAAAGGTTTCGAGGTTCATCCATGGGGCTGCAGACACCAGTAGTTGGCTTGTTTTCTCACTGCTGAGTGATATCCCATGGGGTGAGTGACCCACTCATTCTTTTTCCGTTCCCTTCTTGATGGATATTTGCATTTGTTTCCAGATTAAAAAGTAAGTCTGATTGTATCCTCTCCCTGTCCCGGGAGATTGAGACCCTCTTAACATTTATCCACTCTTCTCAGAATTCACTGAAATCTCTTCACAGGGCCTGTAATGATGTGGCCGTTCTAGCCCCTGCCTGGCTTTTCGGCCTCAGTGTCTACCTTCCTCTTCTTTGTCCTCTGAGTTCCCTCTGCTTTGTAAGGGAGCTCTGTACACCCCCCCCCACCCCCGCCTTTGAACCACAGCTTAAATGACACTTTCTGGCAAGCTTCACTGACCAACCAGCCCCCACCCCTAGACTCCATACCTCCTTGGAGCTCCCTACACTTCTCCCTTCATTGTTCCAGTTGCGTATAACAGTTTGTGTGATTACTTAATTAATATCTGTCTCCCCCATCAGACAGTGAGCTTCATGAGGACAGGCACCGGTTCGGTCTTAACCTCCAACAGTCGCCCAAACCAAAGCTTGCCCACGGTTAAGTACTCATTACATATTTCTGGAGTGCTGCGTGTCGAGTAGACCCTTTTCCCATTCTGAGCCTCAGTGCTTTTCCCTCTCCCGTCACCCCCCCAAACACAGACTTTCTCCTGGGAACTGTCAGGGAACCTTGACTCCCCGCCCCTTTCCCTCTTCAGCAGCTGTGGGTGACGCACCCAGGGGCGGGCGCCCCGCCCCACTGCGGACGCTGATTTGGCCTGGTTGGGCAAGGCCAGGGTTGCCTGGGGGGAGGTTACTCATCCCGGGCTCAGGTAAGAGGGCCCAGGTTGGGAGGCGGCACACCCAGGGGGAACGCTGAGGGAGCAGGACGGAGCCATGGACCCTGCCAGGAAAGCAGGCGCCCAGGCAGTGATCCGGACTACGGGCTGGTTGGTCCTGTTGATGCTCCTTCTTGGAGGAGGTGGGTCTGCTGGAGGGGATGGATGGGGTACAGTAGGGGCCCTAGGAAGGAGCTGTCTCCTACAGGGAGAGCTGTGGGGACAATCTTCCATCCTGAGCAGAAGGGGCTGTAGGAGAGATCCCCTACTTTGGGCAGAGAGACTATGGGGAGGATTCCTCCCTGGGGGGAAGTTCTTCCATCCTGAGCAGATGTGAGCTGTGGGAAGGACCCCCTGCCCTGGACAGAAGGGGCAGTGGGAAGGGATCCCTCGCTGAGTCGCCTGGACTGTAGGAAGAGTTCTGCTACCATGAACAAGGAACTGTGGGAATGTGTCCCTCCCATCCATAGCAGGGATCCCCCATCTGGAGCATAAGGGGCTGTGGGAAGGATGTTCCCACCGCAGGCATAGGGGGCTTTGAAGGAGAGGGGCACCAGATTGGTGGGGAGGTTTTCCTTACTCCTGTCCTGGAAAACGGTGGGCAACAGCATTGTCCCGTCCCGGGGACAGAGGGCATGGGAAGGACTATTTCTCCTTTCTGGGAGAAGGCTTCAGTAGGGATCTCTTAGTTCTACTGGGCCCGGCATCCCCAGGAGCGCAGGCCCTGGAGTGCTACAGCTGCGTGCAGAAAGCAGATGACGGATGCTCTCCGCAGAAGACCAAGACAGTGAAGTGCGCGCCGGGCATGGACGTCTGCACAGAGGCCATAGGGGCGGTGGAGACCAGTGAGTGGGGCCCTCTGGTCCATTTGTACCCGTTCAAGCTCCCCAAGCCAGGCCCCGCCTCCTTTTGTCCCGCCCCTTCTGAATTTGTCCACATCCATTCAACGCCCTGCATGCATCCCTTTCAGCCTGGCTGGAGCCCTTTAACACAATCATGCCGTTAGGGCGCGGGGCTGACAGGTGCTACCTGAGTGGGGTGATCCGGGAGAGCCCGGATTTGGGACCCAGTCCCCTTCGAGGGCACACACTATCCAGTTCCGCCTTGTCCCCCCCTCTACCCCCCGAGACTTCCCTACTCACCCTGTCCCTGCCAGAACCCTCTATCCCGGTAGGCCCGTGACGATGCAGACCCCTCCACAGGTCTCCTCCTAAGTTCCCTAGACTGAGGCTGCCCCCCACTAACCCACCCCCGAGGGGAATCCGGCCCCCATCTGAGGCTACAGCTCCTGGGAGGTCCCACCTGTCTCTGCTCCTGTGCCCTTTCTGTCAGTCTCCCAGTTCCTTCTTAAGATTCTTTGTGCGGTTCCGTCCCTCTATCGCCCGGCCCCGTCCTACTGCACTCTTGGGCCTCCCCTCTCAGTTTTGTCCGTCCGCCTGTCTGTTCCCTCCGGACTCAGCTCTTTGAGGATCTGCCCCTCCTTCTGTCGTTCTTTCCCCTGCGATCGGCTTTCTGAGGCCCCGGCCCTTCGACCCTGGCTCGGCTCTCTTCTGGTGGTGGTGGTCGGGTCCACTCGAGGCCCCGCCCGTAGCCCCGCCCCTGACCCCGCCCCCTCCCCTCTCCGCAGTCCACGGGCAGTTCTCTGTGGCAGTGCGGGGCTGCGGTTCGGGACTCACGGGCAAGAATGACCGCGGCCTGGACCTTCACGGGCTACTGGCCTTCATCCAGCTGCAGCAGTGCTCCCAGGACCGCTGCAACACCAAACTCAACCTCACGTCCCGAGCGCTGAACCCCGCAGGTCGGTGGGGGCGGGGCCCTAGGCTCGGGGGCGGAGCCACACCGCCGCTGAGCCACTAGGGTGATCCCAACCTGGAGGCGGGAGAACTCGGCACGTGCTGGGGGCGGGGTCACGCGGCGGAAGACGGGGCTTCGTTGCTGTAGGCCGCTTGGGGAGGGACGCTAGGGGTGAGGCTATGCGGGAGGAGAGGCGCGACAGGTGGAGGCGGGCCTCGCCCTGGGCGGAGCTAGGGGCGGAGACCTAGGCTGCAGGGACCCTCGGGCTGCGCTGGGCTTCCGGAGCCTTCCGGACCCCTTCCCTCCAACCCGCTCTCCTCGCAGGCAATGAGAGTGCATACCAGCCCAACGGTGCCGAGTGCTACAGCTGCGTGGGGCTGAGCCGCGAGGCGTGCCAGGGTACGGCGCCGCCCGTCGTGAGCTGCTACAATGCCAGCGACCGCGTCTACAAGGGCTGCTTCGACGGTAACGTCACCCTGACGGCAGGTGAGCGAGTGGGGAGCACGGGGTCAGCGGGAGTTGTGGTATTTCTCTGAGGCCTCACGGGCGGTGGGTAGCCCTTTCCCCAGAGAGTTCCCCCACCTCCAGCACGTTCTGGAAACTGTAGGCCTAAGTTCTCGCCTTAGCCTAGAGCGGCAGGAGAAATGCAGCTCTATCCCCGACGTCGTGTGGGGGTACGGATGCTTTTGTCCTAGAGTCTTTTTTGGAAATACATCTCGATAGAGGCCTGCCAGGTTTAGAATGGGACGATGCGCTGTGGGAAATGTAAGCCTCCAAGCTTCTAGATTGCAGGGACTCTAGCTTCGTTTCCTTAAAACGGCTGGGTTTAGGTTAGGGTTTAGGTTAGGGCCGCCCACCTAACCACTTAGGAGAGAGGTAGTTCATCCTCCTGGCCTCTGCCTCAAGGAACCCTGAGGGGTGTTCTTCAAACGCCTCTTCTGCTAGGTGCATTATGGGAGATGTTGTTCTGAACTCTTAAGACTGATTTTGGCAGGGGTGGGGGTGGAAGGGAGAAAGTCGGAAAAAAATGAAGAGAGGGATGTAGGGAAAGTTTGTTGGGCTCTTTGGTCTTATGAGAGGTGTATCCGGGTCCATACTTTCCCAGCTTTTCTCCCAAGGTATTGTGGTACTTGTAGTTCATCCTACCCACTTTTCTTCTCAAAAGTGGGAAACGGGGTTCACCATGTGCCAGAGACAATGGGACAGAGTTTCTGGAAGTGGGGCCTGAATTGAGACTTTGGATTAATGGATGCAGAGCCCTTCTGTCCCCTGTATTAGGGGGTTTTGCCCTTGTCTTGCCCCGAAATTTCCTTCTGGCTCTGCAACACCGACCCACCTGTGTCTCCCTCCTGCAGCAAATGTGACTGTAACCTTGCCTGTTCGGGGCTGTGTCCAGGACGAGTTCTGCACCCGGGATGTGGTGACAGGCCCAGGGTTCACACTCAGTGGCTCCTGCTGCCAGGGGTCCCGCTGTAACTCGGATCTCCACAACAAGACCTTTTTCTCTCCTCGAATCCCACCTCTTGTTCTGCTGCCCGCTCCTAAGCCCACCACTCTGGCCACAACCACCTCCGTCACTACTTCTACCCCAGCCCCAACCACACTCGTCTCTACCAGCAAGCCCACCTCAGCCCCAGCCAGCCAGACTTCTCCACAGGAAGTACATCCAGAGACCTCCCGGAAAGAGGAATCTAGCTTGGCTGGAGGCGCCCCTGGCCACCAGGACCGAAGTAATATGGGGCATCACCCTACAAAAGGTGTGGCATATAGTAAAGGCTCTGTGACTCCCTTCATTGGGCTGGTGGCCCCTCTGTTGTCTGTGGCTGCTGGCAACTTACTCTGAGTTTTTCCATCTAGAAACCATCTTGCCCTATTCCCTGGCTCTGGGCGCCCTCTCTTCCCACTACTTCCCTTTCCCGGACTGGACTGGGCTGGCCCAGCCCCCATTCTTCCAATCTTCCCCACTCTCCCCAGCTTCTGCTGCACTGGTTTGCGGCTTTGGGAAATAAAGTTACCGTTGTCTATATCCTGCCAGGGTGTCGCAGCTTTTTGAAGGCAGCAAATGCATCTCCCTCATCTCTATCTCTCTTTCCTGTCCTCATGGTGCCTAGGACCGAGAAAAGTCAGGGCTGTCTTAGGGAAAATGGGAGAAACAATGATAAGCTTCCTCTTTGCCTTCTTACAGCCAATCTGGAATATGGGGGGTAGAGCAGGGTACTCATGCGTTCCTCTGCTTGGCTGCTGTCCCTGCCCCCCATCTCTGTGGCAATCGTTTGGGCGTCTGACATCCTTACTAGACTGTGAGCTCCTCAAGGGCAGGGACCGTGCCTTATGCCCCTGTGTGATCAGCTTCTGGCACAGAAAGGTCTCAATAAAAGTTTGGTTCCTTTGTATAGTGTTTTGAAGGACTCATTTCTTATGCTAACCTCTCAGTGTAACCTCGTAGCTGAGCTAGGGCAGGAATGCCAAGACCTTTATTTTATTTTTTAAAGATTTTATTTATTTATTTGACAGACAGAGATGACAAGTAGACAGGCAGGCAGAGAAAGAGGGGGAAGCAGGCTCCCTGCTGAGCAGAGAGCCCGATGGGGGCTCAATCCCAGGACCCTGGGATCATGACCCGAGCCAAAGGCAAAGGGCCTAACCCACTGAGACACCCAGGCGCCCCATGCCAAGACCTTTAACAGAGAAGCTGAGATCTAGAACCACAGCCCTGGGGGAAGTTGAGGTTTGAACTGCTTTCATCTCCTAGGGTTTAGCCAGCTTGTGGTGATCCCACTGGTGAGGGGGCTGCCCCGTGAAACCACTAAGTGCTGACGAGGGTGAATGGGGCTCTTAGCAACATTTGGGAGCAGAAGGGGGCTTTGTTTCATGGCTTGTACACCATCCCCAGCTCCCACCCACCTTGTCATCTGTTTGGCGGATGCTGCTTTTTTTTTTTTAAGGTTTTATTTATTTATTTGACAGAGAGAGATCACAAGTAGGCAGAGAGGCAGGCAGAGAGAGAGAGAAAGAGAGGAGGAAGCAAGCTCCCTGCCGAGCAGAGAGCCTGATGCGGGGCTTGATCCCAGGACTCTGAGATGATGACCTGAGCCAAAGGCAGACACTCAACCGACTGAGCCACACAGGCACCCTTTTAAAAGTCTTACCACAAACCAGGCCTGTACTGAGGGTGTTTGCTGCCGGAGTCACATTTAATTTTCCATATACATTCTCAGATGGGATGATTGGGGAAACTGAGGCTCAGAATGGTAAAGTAATTTACCCACAGCAAGTAATCCGTGTATCGGGTTCTGTTTTGTGTACTGTACCTGGATTAATGTACTTAATTTATACAACCATCCTATGAGGTAAGTATTAATCATCTGCATTTTATAAGATGAAGAAACCAGACCCAGAGAGGTTGAGAAACTTGCCCCAGGTCACCCAGCTAATAAGCATGGGAACCCAGATTTGAACCCCAGCAGACTGCCTTTTCAGAGGGTGACCAAGATGGCCATAACTTTTCCCTCAGCTTGACTAAACTTGAGATAGACTTCTCTCTACTTTTGAACCCCTGACCTCCCTCTTACCCTGGGCCCTTCCAGAATCCAGATGGCCTAACCACAGAAGCCCCAACCTCGCTTTTCTTAGAGCATTCACTTTGGAAAACTTGTCATTATAAATTCTTTCTCTGGTCCTTTGAGATGTATATAACTGTCCTTAAAAGCCTCCTGCTAGTTTTAGAGCCCAGAAAATGCCTTTCTCTAGGACCTGGGAGCCAGCTCTTTGAAATGTACATATCAAAGGACCTCGCACTCCTGCCTCCCAGTTTCCCCAGCAAGATGCCAGCGTCACGGCTGCAGAAGCAGGCGCCTTCGTCCAAGTTGTTAAACAGCCTCCTATCACAGAGATGCAAGGAAGTTTTCTTTTCTTGGGGGAAAGCCAATTAGTAAACACAGATAACCTAAGATCTTCGCCTTACCCCACCTTTTTAAAACTCCACTGCTCTTGTTTCGGCTGAGTTGAGGTCAGCAGGAGTACTGGCCTCTCCAGAGCCCCTCCAGCACCCCTAATGTCGTCAAGTCCAGTGTTGTTGGGGTTCTGTTGTCTACTGGGAAGAAACCATGCACATATGAAATAATTTGCATCTTCCCAGAGAAGAATCTTTGCAGTTTATCAATCTTCTTATCATTTACAAAGTTAAATCTAAACCTTATAGAATCGGGCCCCTAATCAGTAATAAATAGCAGGATATACAAAGCTACATTCCCCCTGGGAATCAGATAAACCTTGAGTGGTTCTAGAAGTTAGACAGTGCTACAGTAAGATGTTAGAAACGTAAGCGGTTTTTGCTTTAATCTTATTTATAAAGTTAAAAAAATTTTTTTAAAGACTTTATTTATTTATTTGACAGACAGAGATCACAAGTAGGCAGAGAAGCAGGCAAAGAGAGGGGGAAGCAGGCTCCCCGCCCAGCAGAGATCCCAATGTAGGGTTCGATCCCAGGTCCCCGAGATCATGACCTGAGCCGAAGGCAGAGGCTTTAACCCACTGAGCCACCCAGGTGCCCCCCAATTTTTTTTTTTTTTTGATGAAGTAGGTTCCACATCCACAATATAGGGCCTGAATCCCAGATCAAGAGTTACATGCTCTGGGGTGCCTGGGTGCCTCAGTCGGTTAAGCGTCTGCCTTCAGCTCAGGGGGGCCCTGGGGTCCTGGGATCAAGCCCCGCATTGGGCTCCCTGCTCAGTCAGGAGCCTGTTTCTACTTCTCCCTCTGCTTCTCTCCCTGCTTGTGCTCTCTCGTGCATGCTTTCTCTCTCAAATAAATTAAATCTTCAGGAAAAAAAAAAAGTTGTATGCCAGCCAGGCATCCCATGAGTGTGGTTAATTTTAATAATGTATTTTAACCTCATATATACAAACATTATAATTTAAAAAGTAATCTATGTAAAACCATTATTAATGAGCTATTTTATGGGGGTTTTGTACTTAGTCTCTGGAATCCCTTGTGTATTTTATGCTTATATCACATTTCAGCGCACACTAGCTACGGTTCAAGTACTCAACATCTGAATCTTTAGAAATTTGCATAAGCAGATGGGGCACTTGGGTGGCTCAGTGGGTTAAAGCTTCTGCCTTCCGCTCAGGTCATGATCCCAGGGTCCTGGGATTGAGCCCCGCATCAGGCTTTCTGCTCAGCAGGGAACCTGTTTCCTCCTCTCTCTCTGCCTGCCTCTCTGCCTACTTGTGATCTCTGTCTGTCAAATAAATAAATAAAATCTTTAAAAAAAAAAAAAGAAATTTCCATAAGCAGAAATATACAGCATTTCCTCATTTGTGTAAGTCTTCTTTCACTCCACAGAATGTGGAATATCATGGTTGTTTGTTTATTCTTTTACTGAGGACACCTGTGCTGTTTCCAGCTTGGGGCTATTATGGATAAAGCCCGCTATGAATATTCTTGTCCACTTGCTTTTATGGACATAAGCTTTCATGGCTCGTGTGCCAACTCTCAGCAGGAGAACCACTGTGTCAGAGGATGGGTGTGTGGTCAGCTTCGGAAGAAACTACCAGACCCTCTTCAAAACCGGTTGCACTGTTTCGCAGTCCTGCTAATGAATAAGAATTCCTGTCATTCCACATTCTCATCCGCCTATGGTGTCGTCTGGAGGTCTTCTAAAAGTTATCCCATCTGTAGATGGGTTATAGTATCTCATGGTGGTTTTGGGGTGCATCTCCCTGAAGACTAGTCATGTTGAGTTGTTCCCCACTTGTTTGATGTTAGGGGGTAACAGGAGTTGCTTTGTGGGGAGCTGAGAAGGTGTGAAATCAGAGTGCGGGCAAGGGAATGGACTTGACTGTGTAGGCTGACTTCTAGGCGGAATCAAGGGCCCACTGGAGGTTATGAGTCATGAATTTAAAGTAAGACTTTCCAGCAGGGTTGTGTGATTTTTCTCCAGCTTTGGTTACTTGCACAGGTTTAGGCAGTAGCAGATGGAAATGGGGGATATTGCCAGATTGCCTTGTCAGTAGGACAAAGCTGGGGGCTCGAGCATGCATGCAAGAGAGAATGTCCATTCAGAATGGATTTAGCGTCAGAAAGGAGAGAAATTAGGACCTGAGGGATATGACAGATGGGTCATTCATTCATTCAGTTATTCATTTCATACATTTTTTAAAAAGATTTTATTTATTTATTTGACAGAGATCACAAGTAGGCAGAAAGGCAGGCAGAGAGAGAGGGGGAAACAGGCTCCCTGCCGAGCAGAGCCCGATGCGGAGCTCAATCCTAGGACCCTGGGATCATGACCTGAGCCAAAGCTAGAGGCTTAACCCACTGAGCCACCCAGGCACCCTCATTTCATACATTTTTTTAAAAAAGTTATTTATTTGAGAGAGAGAGAGAGAGTGCATGCACGTGGGTGGGGGAGGGACAGAGGGCGAGGGAGACAAGCAGACTCACCCCTTCATAATTTTTATTTAACGCGTTCCATGGGTCAAGCATCGTGCTGAGTGGTGGGGATCCAGCCGCGAACAAGAAATGATGGTTTGGGCCCCGGTGAAGACACATTGTGGTTGAGTTGGTAAGAGCTTAGTTTCTGGATCCACAGCGCTGGCCTTCAAATCTTGGTCCTGTGGCTACCATCAGTCTGAGGTGGCAAGTTATTCAAGTCCTCTGTGCCTCAGTTTCTTCATCTTTAAAACAGACGTGACCTGCAAAGTAAGAAAATAGTCCACGAATGGTGGGGCTGTGTCAAAAGGACACATCTGAAAGGGGCTCTCTGTGACCGAATCTGGGGCAAGTTGAGCACCAAGCTAAATGATAGTGAAGGATTATAAACCATTGAATAAGCAGGAATCCATGACTACATAGTGATATTAAGGGTGTGAATTAGTTGGGGCACCTGGGTGGCTCAGTTTGTTATGCGTCAGACTCTTGATTTCAGCTCAAGTCATGGTCTCAGGGTCGCGAGATCGAACCCCGTGTCCAGATCCATGCTCAGCGCAGAGTCTGCTTCTCCCTCTCCCTCTGCTTCCCCACCCTGCCCCCCCCCAAAATAAATAAATAAAATCTTTTTTAAAAAAGAGTGTAAGTCAATAAATAAGTAAATAAGTGAAAGCTCTTTCTTGCAGTCACAGGTCAACTCGTGAGGGCGTGGTGGAATCAGAACTCACCATTTGGGAACCTTCATGAGAATAACTGACTCAGGCAAGAGCCAATAATAGATGCTGTGATAGTTTGATTTATGATAAGAAATATATATGTGGTCGTTGGCCGGTCTCTGGCACAGAGCTCCTAAAACCTGTGAAATTTCCTGAATGATAAGAGCAATCAAAGTGTCTTCATATTCATAACAAACCCCTTTCCATCACACCTGATTTTATGGTAATGAGGGGGGCCACCGGGT